ACTCTTGTGTTTAATTTACAACTCGTACAGAAAACACCTCTGTCCTTGTAAAACCTACAAAAAACTCAGTGAAACTTTTTTTAGAAGAACAAAAAAAAAACAGTGTACAATCATTAAAGTTACACAATTAGTTAACACAAAACAAATTAGAAATATCTCAAACCAAACGCAATTAAAAAAATAACATTAAAAAAAGTTAAAGGTAAGTTCATAGAACTAAAAAGAATATGAAATAATTTCACACCTTGAAGACGGCGCTTTAATTCTCCTACACACTATGTGTTGCGCCGACTTCACGATGTGAAATTATTTTAGCTCTTTATAGCCTTTTACTTATATAGGCTTTTATTTTTAATTAAAAGTAAATTTTCGGCTAAATTTTTGTGATTAAATGCAAGTTTTTACGTAATAGAAGCATACTGTAATGTACTTTCGCTGTAGCACGAACGTGCCAGCACCACCCTTTCATTTCGTTCGGTTCGATCATAATTCATATAAATAATTGTACAAAATATTTTCATATTATTTGTCTGAAACAATAAATGCTGCTGATTTACTTGCTGGTTCTTTTCAGGATCTATCAGAGGTATTTTCCGAACCAGTAGTAAATGAAAAATTGCCTTTAAATCAGTATTATGTACTCGTATAACTAGCTGTGACCCGCGCCGCGGTTTCACCCGCGTATATCACGTGTCTAAGCGCCTCATGCCATGACATGACACCTAATTCAAGCATTTTAGATAGCAATGTATGGGAAAATTGGCAAAAGTAATGGAGTACTTTTATCTATTGACATATGTACGTTACAGAACTTAGTTAAATTTAATCTTCTTTTTAATTTTCAATAATTTTATCGTCACAAAATACCTTATTGTGACTTATGTTTAAGAAATAAGCTTATAGTATCGCGGACTTATTTTTAGACGGAGTAAAGATCTGTATTTTTATGGAAGTCGTGACGCCAGCGCAAGCGGATAAATAATTTCGGGAGCGTATCAGGCCATAATCTATAAAAATATTTTTTCAAATCTGGCCGATAGTTCGATTAGTGTGGAAAAGCTCTTCCGTTTTGTTATATTAGTATGAATAATTGAATAATTAAATATTTAACAATTAAAACCATCGTTAAATAGTATATTAAGAACTATGGAGAAAGTAAGGCGGTATACTTTCTCCATTAATCTTCTCTATTTTTATTAATTCCATCACATCTAATATTGATTGTTCGTACCATCTGTATGCTGATGACCTACAAATTTATGTACAGTCTGACATTTCTGACATCCATTATACGATAAACAAATTGAATTCAAATCTCAAGTCAGTCTGTGATTGGTCTATGCGTTTTGGAGTGTCTGTCAACCCTACGAAATGCCAAGCGGTGCTTGCTAAAATAGATGCCGCTAGTCTACCTCCCGTCTATTATAATGATCGTCTGATACCGTTCTCTCCCTCAGTTAAAAATCTAGGTCTCCATATCGTTAGTACTCTGTCCTGGGGGGGTTCATATCTCCGAAACATGTCGTAAAGTCTCTGGGTCTTTACGTTCACTTTATCGATTGAAAAATTTTCTCCCCCTTTAAGACTAAAATTATGCTTGTACAGTCACTTATACTACCAATCATTGATTATGCAGACGTGTGTTACCCGGATTTAAACCAAAATCTTCTCAACAAGCTAGAGCGCCTTCTCAACAATTGCGTCAGATACATTTTCAATCTCCGTAAATTTGATCATATTTCTCACTATCGCTCTCGCCTAAAATGGCTTACTATTAAACAGAGGCGTGACTCTAGAATTTTGCTTGTTCTCTTCTCTATCTTAAATGATCCATCCACTCCTTCTTATCTCAAGGAAAAATTTCAATATATTTCCCTAACGCATGATAGAACTCTGCGTTCCTCATATAATAATAAACTAAGTATCCCTCTACATTTTACTAATTTTGTTGGTAAATCCTTCACAATTCAGGCTGCACTGCTCTGGAACTCCTTGCCCGATGACGTCAGAAAAACATCTAATAAGACTGCTTTTAAAAGATTGGTACATAAGCATTTTATGAAAATATTAGATGATAGTTAATATGGTTAATTTTGGTTACCTTTGTTGTTATTTTATTTATAGGTTTATATTATATATCTATTTGTATTTAAAATATGTATATATTTATGTATCTATGAATGTGTATGTATATATTATATATTATCTGTATTATATTTTGGAGTATATAAGTTTATTGAATTTGTATATATAATATTAGTTTGTTTTTAAGTTTATCAGTAGTTTTTTTCCTTGATTTACTCTATTGTTCATTTTATTTTGTCACCTATCACATAATTTCCACACGTCCCGGGTTGACTGGGAGAGAATGTCTAATGGCATTAAGTCCGCCCTTTGTAATCTTTTTTATGGTGCAATAAAGTGTAAATAAATAAATAAATAAAATAAATATATTAAATGTAGATTTTTGTTATTTGGATTGACACCTGAACTTGTTGAACTTAGCCGTTTAGTGGCGGTGTAAGAATATCTCCTAGCCCATATCGGTGCGCGGGTGCGCGGGTGCTGCACCGGGCGATAGAAGGAAACTAGTACAGAAGATGGGTAGCAGTATCTTCCTGATGACAATCACTTACATGAAGATAATGTTTCTCTAAATGACAACAATAGTAATTATAAATTATAAATATGGGTATCTAGGGACCACTTCCACATCCACTTACTATCAGTAGGAATGTGTTCTCGTTTTACACCCTTAATTTTAATCCTGTTGTGCTCAAAAGTAATACTGAAGACTGAAGCCGTTTTATATCAAGTTTTGTATGACATTTTATAGAAAATTTAATGTAGATTTCATGCCCAGCAGGGGACTGCCGTAGGCTGATGATGATGACGATGAACGTAGATTTTGGGATTACTTATTATTTTGCTGAAGTCTTTAATATTTGGAAATAAACTGAAAAACTAATACCTACATATATTAAATTTCTTTGTTTTTCTTTTACTTTTAAGAAACTTTACAACCGCACTAAGATTTTCTCCTGTTTCGTAGAGGCAAGTTTACAAACATTGATTGCACAACGACAAACATCCAGACTCGGAACAACTATTTGTAGGTTATGCAAGTACTTGTTCCTTGCGTGATTCGAACCCGCATCCCTCAGCGCCGTAACGCGCAACGAAGTGCCTCAGGATTATTATTTTGGCAATTTGTAGTTTGGGTCATTTCTTAACACCTTCCTATTATATCACTGTATGTCGGTGTGTAAATGAGTAAGTCATAATTCTTTTAACATTATGTAGTTTTGTCTATCGTGCTTAGAACTTAATAGATATTAAGATCATTACTGGTTAAAATGAATTAGGAATTTTATACGTGGTAGAGCCATGTTGCAGCTGTATTATGGCTCTAGCAAGTTGCAAGCCTTGCTCGATCTGACCTTCACTCACTACAAAAGTTACAGCCTATATACGTCCCGCTGCTGGGCTTTGGTCTCCTCTCATTTCTGAGAGGGTTTTACGACAAGGACTTAGAAGCGTGAAATCGGGACAATAACTTTCTTTTATTACGTAGGCAACTAATAAAGGATCTTGGAAATTTAAAACCTTCGAGGGTGAAATATGGTGTTCCGATTATTAAGAAACATTTTTTACGCGATTTCATATTTATATGGAGAAAAATGCGTGCTGGTGAACTTCACATGTCTTCGCAATATTTTTTTCTCAGACATGCAGGTTTCGTCACGATGTTTTCCTTCACCGCCGAACACGTGTTAAATCAGCAATCAAAATTGCAATTAACAATTTCATTGGTGCCAGCGGGGATCGAACTCGGAATCGATCGAAATCGAAATTTAAAGCGAGAGCCTAGGCCCTAAGCTACCATGTTTTTACAGTCCACCTGATGGTAAGTAAATGCTGTGGCCCATAGAAATCTACATCTATCCTTGATTAAGAATGAAAATGCAGATGCGTAGATGAGGACTAAGATGGAACACCTCGTTTCCAGTAAATGGATATCCGGTTCTCTACACTCATTATAAGAAATAGTGGTCCTTTCACGGTTGAGCTGACCCATTCTTACTACAAACCATAACATTATCTTTCTATACTACGTATAAAGTCGGTTGTAATCTAAACAAAATGTATCAAATATATTATTCATTTTAGGATTTGAACGTGTTACTGTTGTGGTTATCCTTATTTCGCAAACGCCGCCACAAATCCCTGCTCTGAATTTCACTCGGATTTTCGGTAACGGTAAGAACGAGACGGGATTTGACAGAGCACAATCCATGTACCGCACAAACCAACTTGTTAGAAAAAGGGCCATTTTCTCCCTCCCAGTGCCCCTCCCCGAGGGTGGGGGCTGTCGCCGCGCCGTCGCAACAAGTGGCGCCGCTCGGGTGGCCTCGTGCTGTCCGTCGCCCTCGAGGCGCTCAATTTACATAAATGTTTGTTGATCATTGCCCTACTTATACACGGATCTTGGTCACACTAAGATCATTCGTATAAAGTTGTTTATATCTTTACATCTATGTATACATATAAATAAAATAGAAGTGTCTGTCTGTAATACTGAGACAACTGGCTTTTATTAAGCTCAGGGAGTTGTTTGCATTACGGCATAAAAATAATTAAATAACTTTAAAAAAAATTATTTGTCAGTCTGTCAAAAGTAAGCCTAAACTGATATGTTCGACTTCATCGATGATGTTCTTGTTTTATTTATATCGAATTCGGTTTTAATTTTACCGCTTGTTAACTAGTCTAACTATAAACACCGTAAAGCTTTTTATTATTTTTTGTTAGGTACTTCTACTTCCCTTAAGACCTATTTTCTAAACGTTTATAGTCCCTATAAAAAGTTATTAAAATATTAATCTTTAGTTAGAGAAAGACCAAAGAATATACGAATAATGCGTATTAAAGAAACGCTATTAGTACTTACATCATCTGTGCGATAAGCTATCTATAACGAGGTTCTGATGTTGTTACAGGACGAGACCGAACCACCCGGGGGCTGTGGTAGAAATCAGCGAGAACCCCCTCGACGCAAGCAAAGTAAGCCATGCATATGTATTTTTTTATAGAACAGAACGCAAACGAGCATGCGGCTCACCTGATGGTAAGTGACCACCGCTGCCCATGAACATTTGCAACACCATGGGAATTGCAGATGCGATCCGGCCCTCTAAAAGTAGTAGGCTCTTTTTTTAAAGATCCCTAAGTCGTATCGGTCCGTAAAAATCTCTGGTGGTAAATGATTCCACAAGGAAGTTGTGCGAGGAAGAAAACATTTTTTAAAACATCTTTTAAATCGCACAGTAGTGGACCGCCAGTCTCCCAGATGATATCGCGAGTTTTGTGATGTGCGATGGTGAAATTGTGCAGCTGAAATTAGTCCGAACAATTCCTCAAAGCACTCTCCTTGGTAGATACGATCAAATACGCAAAGAGACGTAACATCTTCGCAGCGCCAGTGAGTCAAGCCGATCCGAAAGAGCTCGGTCGCCGACGATTAGAACGGCTCTGTGCTGGATGCGATCAAATGGAAGGAGCTAGCACTGGAAAGCCCCAGCTCAGAGATGGGAACAGTATTCCTTGTGCGGCCGAACTTTCGCCTTGTAAGGTTGCAGGCGATGTGCCGGCATAAAATACTACCTCGCTCTGCTGAGCAGGCCAAGCTTTTTAAAGGCCAATTTGGCCTTCTTTTCCAAGTGACTACGAAACTGCACGTCACTCGATGTGTCGACGCCGAAGATTCCGATACTGGCTAAGGCAACAAGGTACTCCACCTTGGAATTGAGGAGATACGATAAAAGGGTTCTTTTGAGCGGTAAACGCGCAAACTTGTGTCTTTTGGTGATCGAACTGGTCTAGATTTAGTCGCCCCCAGTTCGAGACTTTCTTGAACAAAGTTTCGACTTAAGACACAAGTTTTTCCCGGTACTCGGTGACGTTTCGGCATAAAGGTATAAATGTGATAAACCTAGAGAAATAAGTATCCAACGACCTACGACCTAAATACATACAATATTAGTAATACATATAATATTGATTACAAATATGTCGGTACATAGCATACGACGTGCGGAGAAGTGGGGGCGAAATTATAATTAGAGCTGAGGTTCTATAGCCCCTTAAACTGGTATTTTACGTAGGTGTCATCTGAAAGCGAGGTCCTTCCCTGGTCGAGCCAACTTATTTATGCTACAACTGTAATATAGCTGCAGCGTGACTACCACGTATAAGAGAAAAGAAGTAGAAGCAAATTTAGAATAAGCATCACGCTTAACTGCCGGATTGACGACCGCAGCACCAGATGTCTCGCGCCTTTGATGATAGTTTCTGCCGCCAGTCCAGACATTTTACGCCTGCCATAAATGTTTTAATGTGGTAGAGCTTGCCATGTCTTACTGGGTCGTCACTCCATCTAGTGGTATTACGGGGCTGCCACGCGAGAACCTTTTACGCCCCATCGGTTGTCGCTTCTTCAAGCTATATGTCCGGCCCATTGCCACTTTGTCTTACAAATCCGTTAAGCTTCGTCGGTTACTCTGGTTCAACCGCTGATATCTTTATTTTTAAGTCTATCATGGAGAGAAACCCCGAGCGTTGACAACAGGTATATTTAGCTTGAATGGGGGCCCATGAGTCGACCCAGTCGACTGGAGAAGAATCACATTCACAGAATACCAGCGTAAAATAGTAGCTTAATGCTGCTGTGTTTCTAATGAGAGTACTTGAGACCATTTTACTGGAAACGAGGGCATTATAAATATAAATTCAATCTAGTCCTCAGGGGTGACACCTATCAAGGATATATATATATATATCACCTGTAGATTTCTATGTGTATAATGTGTACTATGTAAAGCATATCGTCATCTATTGGAAATTGTTAAATTATTCTGGTATTTCCCATAGTAACTTTACGACTCCCAAGGGACGGAATGTCGTGTTGGATCGTCGTATCTGTCCACCACATGCTAACGACACGGCTTTCAATTAGTATTACATAATCTATATTAAATAAAAACTATTTTGTTTTAATCTATTAGTATATTGAACTCGTAGAGACCGTGATGTGTCGGTGTAAGAATATAAACTACCCCATGCCGTCCCGTGGGTGTCGTACGAGTAAGAGGCGACAGAGGCAAACAACCCTGAACTCGACAACATCAAGTAGAAAACACTGTTGTTGCATAAACGCCTGCCAATCGTGCCAACTAGGTCAAATATTCCCGTTCAGTCGTGAACTGATAGACTATTACATAGGCTTTGTGAGGAGTCATTGTTGGGAAACCACTGCTGCCCATCTCCTGATTCGTTTCCCTCTGTCGTTCCCTACGACACCCACGGAATGATATGGGGCAGTGGATATTCTTACACTGCCATTACGCGACATACATTAGTTTTTATGGGTTTTTGTAGTACTTATAATTAATTATTGTCGATTCCCTTTGGGCTAATAATTATAAGTAACGATACATTTTGACTGAATGCTAGTACTAATTAGCATATATTACTTTAAAATGGCTTCAGTTTTTCTTGTTTTGACCTCTTCGAAATTTCTCAGCCATATACGTCAACGTAATATTATCTGAACTCCGTTGTTTCTTTGCTAGATATGGGCTTGTAATTCCATTAACGAGCCAGCGACGTGCTCAAACGAAGTTCTTTTGCAATTTTTCGCCCCTTTTAAATCCTCTCTCCGAGCTTTATTTTCGACTCTACGTCGCTCGAATCCCCTGAAAATTGGTATACATGGTGCATTTTTTTGCGAATGATGCTTGCTCGGTATTTTTACGTGATAAAATCTATAACGAGAATTTCGCCGGAACTAGTAGTAATAATAATAATGTCCTCCGCACCGAATTCTGGTCTGATCTCTCTCATAGTCCGATGAGACGGTAATCCGACAAGACCTGAGAGAAACAAGACGGATCAATGAGTTTACGTGCTTTCCGAGGCACGGGGATGAAACTGACGGGGACTGAGGATTTCGGATGAAAAAACAATAAATAACCCATAATAATTTTAATTAAAACTTATAAAAGCTGCAAACGAATAATGGCGGTACTACGTGGCAATTTCTGAGAAGCCCACTTTTAGTAGTGGACTTGTGACGAGATGTAACGATGGTAATGATACATATTATATTACTATTTTAGTATCCCGTGAGTCATATAAGAACATTTCGGTTGTTCTTTTCGCGAACAGGGAAGTGGTTAAAATGATATAGCTAATGTTTTACATTAATACGTTCAATAACAGTCTATCAAAAGTGCATTGCTCAACATTGACCCTCTACAGAATGCCTCATGGAAGGGTTGAGGACACTTGACAACCTTAGTTGTTTATTTTCGGTTGTTATCAAAAAGAAGCTACTACGCCCCTGTTAACTCATGTTTCAATTTCCCTATTTCGACTCTTACCACACTCACGATCTAATGATATAGGGTAGCGGATATGCTTACGCTGCGACTACGTGGCTTTTAACATTTGTAACCTTTAATTATAAATAGAATTTTGTACGTGGTAGAACCAATCTGCAGTTTTATTATGACTTCAGGTCTAATTGATCAGATCAGATTGGGTAAAAATGACAATCAGAGGAAATATCAGCGAAAAAGCAGCGTTATTCTGTTGTACTTTTTATAGTGAGTAATAAGAAACGATAAATATATATTCCAACTTCAACCTCATTCTTAATTAAGAACAGAATTAGATGTCTACGAGCTGCATTATCATGAGGTGGACTGGGTGGTGGTTTGTGACCTCACTAACGGTAGGAGTTGGGTATTATCATCAGCATTATCATCAAATACTACAAATAAACTACATGTACTATGAATGTTGCATGCACCGGCTCGACCGGGGAAGGACCACGCTCTCACACTCACACCAATACGAGCATAAAATGGCAGTTCAATGCTACCATAATAAATGGTGAGTGTAAAGATCCGAAGACCCATTTTAGTAGAAATTAGGCTTTTTATCTTTTTGTTCAGAGGTGACGACGCATTTGTATTTTGATTCTTAATCGAGGATAGATGTAGACCACAACATCTATTAACCATTAGGTGGGCTGTATGCTCGTTTATTCTATAAGGGAAATAAAAATTGTAGAGCAAAGCGTAGTCTAATTTTACGCTGGCTGGCTGCTCGACATATGTCTCTTATTCTCTGATTTTTTCTGCGCAGCTGGTGATCGCGTTCGAGTTGGGCCTGATCGTGGTGTGGGACCTCCGCGCTCGCGCTGTCGAATGGCGAGGTGCCTTGGGCACTGGTGGGGCGTCGGACGTGCGGGCCGCAGCCTGGCAGCACGACGGCAAGCTCATGACCGCCCACGCTGATGGTGCGCTGGCCACCTGGACAACACGGGCGCCAAGACCTTCCTCGCTCTCTTATCCGCATGGTGAGTACTGAATACCATTACAACCTTGAAATAATACTAGTTTTTACGGAATTTATCGCGTATATTTAACTTTTTAAATACCCGACGTTTCGAACGCTTTACAGCACTCATTGTCACGGGCGGGACTGAGATGTTCAACGTCCATATGTCATAGTTAACCGCGGTTACCATAGATTAAAATTTAACTTTTGTTCCGATCTATACAGTATGAACTTATGGTATTTTGAAGTCTTGCAGTTGTATGCTTGGGTTGGGATTTAATTTAATTTATTATAGGATCCCAAGCAGATGGTAGCACCCAGCCATCTTCTCTATTGAAATTAGGATGTTTTTTGATTTCAATAGCCTCGCGAATCATCCTTGGAAGGAATCGGTGTTCTTTAGCGAGGATTTGCGGTCTATCAAATCTGATGTAGTGACGGGGGCGATCCTGTACGTGTTCACAGACTGCAGACTTCCCGGAGCGTCGATTCTTCACATCAGCTATATGTTCTTTAACGCGGGTTTTTATTGATCTTTTAGTTTGTCCTATGTAGGAGAGACCACATTCACAATCAAGCTTGTCCACTCCTGCATCTTGCAGAGGGACATTACACTTGACTGATGTAAAAACTGACCAATCTTCTTCAGCGGCTTGAAGTATGTTTTGATGGAAGCGCGCTTCAAGATGTAGCCAATGTTGTCAGTGACTCCTCTAACATATGTGTAATGTTCGCGTAAATATAAGAAATCATTATGTAAACCGTTACAGCCTATTAAAGTCCACTGCTGAGCATACGTCTCCCCCACGGACTGCCTCATAGGGGGATAGTTGTCACAGTTGCCACGCTTGGTGAGCGGTTTTTTAATCTTCTATCTGCTTTTTATTTTTAGTTTTAATTGTTATTAGGAAGACACTGCTGCCCTCCTGCTGATCTCCTTTCCATTTGTTTTCCTCGGTCGCAAATGTTATTGATTATCTTTCACAAGCACAGAAAATGTATGCATATACTAGTCAGCAGCAGGAATTTGAAATCCACAAAAACATTTCTTAACGAGTCATATTGATTATGATTATACATAATCCTTAGAAATTTGCACTGAGTGTCTAATCTGTGGTGTCAACAGAATTGCCGCAGAATATAATATAATAATTTTATATTCATAGTAATAATTTTTGCTACGTCTTATATATATATATATATATATAAAGCAAAGCAAAGCAAAGCCTTTTGACAGGTCTAAAAGAGACCAACAAGACCACCAGTCTATCCAAATATCTTTCAAAATTTTGAACATTTGAAAACTAAACTAATTTACACTCATAATCTTATATTTGTCTAACCATGATATTAACCTATTCGATATGACTTTTTCGAATATTTTTGCAAAATTTGATAATAGGTCTATAACTATTCACGTCATTTTTGACACCTTTCTTGTACCAAAGGCTTTATCCGTGTTTTTTTTAAATAATTTGTAAAAATTCCTCTTTCTAAGGCCAAGTTTATAATATGCATTAGAGGTTCCCCTAGTAAATGTGTTGATTTGATTACTTTCAATCGGTGTATTATTAGTAGCCTGTACTTTTAATGTTCTTTCAATTATTGATAATATTTATAGTTTTGGAAATATTTACAGGGATTATAAAAATACTATGTCATGTGGTTGATTAATTATAATGTCACCTTTTTGAATAGTTTTTATTGTGTCTTTAATATTATTTATTTTGTATTATTTTGTTTAATAATAAATCTAAGTATACGAAATTGCCACGATTTCTCTTTGGGAGTTCTTGGCAATTTCGTACTCGATACTCGTAAATGATGAAGTTTTACATCAGAGCAATCTAAATTAACAATATCAGAGGTATCCTACAGAAAAATAAATTATGAACAGCTTCTCACACAAGATGATATAAATCAACCTGATGAAGCATGCATGTACTTGATAGGTTTCGAAGAGGCTACTTTTACCCCAACTAAACAATCATTAAGCAATTTTAATAAGAGTTATAATACTACTTAAGTGTACATTTTTATAAGCCCTGGGAATGAGGTGGTGAATACCATGTTGTTTCTATATATTTTTATTTAACATAAGTGTAAATTATTTGTTAAAAAAAATAGTTTCGCTGAGTTTTTTTTTGCTGGTTTTTCCCAGGACAGAGGTAAAAGCATAAATGACTTTCAAAACGTATTCTTGTAATCTATATTAAATAAAAAAATATTTTATTCCTATCTATTGCACTATTTATATGATATATACATGATATTCTATTTTGTTAATAATTTAAGTACGTTTTCTGCCAAGGAGTCCGTTTTCGAAGGTACCACCTATACTAGTCCTGCGATTGTCAATTTGCCTGAAAAGCGGGACGATTGACGCAATCAAATAGCTTCAACCACTAATTAACCATGTCCAACCGTAACCTTTTACAGGCGGATATAGAAGATGAAGAACGGATTTTAAGAAACATATTAACATTGTATTTGAAACCTTTTTTTTTAATTTCAGCGAAGGCAAACAAAGATGGAAAATTGGAGCCTTGTAAACCCATTCACAGATTGGAATGGAAAACTTCGAGATCAGGGTGAGTAGAACTGTTGCAAATTTATCGGTAAGGCCTTTTACGTGATAAAGCTATGCTGCAGCTGTAATATTATTGAAGCACGAATGGGTCGCCTCGACCGGGAAAGGGTCTCATTCTTGTAGAATACCCGCATAAGATACGAGCTTAATGATGCTATGTTTCATAGGGCGAGTTTAATAAACTCTCGTAGAATACCTGTATATGATACCAGCTTAATGCTGCTATGTTTCATAAAGCGAGTTTAATACACTCTTGTAGAATACCAGCATAGGATACCAGCTTATTGCTGCTATGTTTCATAAGGCAAGTGTATAAAACCGGAAACCCTTTTTACTTAAAACGTGGTATTCCATTATATCGCTCAGGTGTGACAAAGCATCTGGTTTTTGATTCATAATCGAGGACGGATGTAGATATATCTATGGACAACAGCATCCACTTACCATCAGGAGGTTCGTGTGCTCTTTTTTCACCCCTATTCTATAAAAAAATACTATTACGGCTCAGCGACGCAGCTTCTGTAATCGGCAGGGTGGCGGGCAAGAATCTCTCACGGAACGATTTTATATAATATGGCCTACAAACAATTCTTCTAGATCTAGACGTCTGTCTGTGTGCAATTTATGTTTGTAAAATGTCTCCACGACATACTAGAAAATCTTAGTGTGGATATAACGTTTCTTTAAAGTTTGTAACCAGAACAATCCAGTGGACATAGACAGGTAGCAGTAAAACATATAACTAAATCGACAACGAGACGGATCTGACGTTAGATGCATCTAGAGCTGCAATATTTAATCCACCTGCCAAACGTGGTGCAAGCAATCCTTCTAACTGGCTGTCGGTAATTGATATTCGCCTTCTATTATACTTTTTTCAGTAATTAAAAGCCATTACTTGACCTCAATCAAATACAAATAAATATTTTAAATTGGCAGCCTCGTACCGATGAGAGAGTACGAGCTAACAAGATTGATTTAAACCATATCAAGATCACAAATAAGCCTTTTAATACGTTTCTTCATTGAGTCCAACGCTGCTGGGTGGTATTTTGCAGCACCAACACATGTAACAGTCATACTCAATCCACGACAGGACTTGCGTCTTGTATAGGATAAGAAACTGCTCCGGGGTGACATACGTACGCTCTCGGTACGTACCTACTACCCATAGTTACGTGATAGGTACCTAATTCCCTTGCAGCTGCTTTGACCCTGTACTCAATAAACCGTCCATAGTTGATTTTCGGAGAAATCTAAAACCCTAACAACTGAAGGCGATTGGTGTACCCAAAGATATATCTCGGTAATTAGGTGCCGAAGTGAGTGGGCTTCTTTATTTTTGATTTGAAGGCGTTTCATAGCATCGCCCCATACGGTAACATAAGATTCACTTTCGGACTGAATTTGATCCCGACTGGCCCGAGCATTCGACTAATATCTTTTAACAACTGTGCAGCCATCATACCCATTGTTACTTTTATTACGTTATTGGTTCAAGAGATTTACGTAGAGAATGGACCTTACCCTTATTAATCAAACTAGGGGACAAGCCATGCAGTGAAAGCTTGCCCAAAAGGCTTGCGTGACAAATTCTTTCAAAGGCCTTCGAGGTATCGAGGAAGATAGCAAGTGCTTTTCCAATGTTTTGGAGGACCTCGCGCCATATATGAATAGCGCATACCAGAGTGTAGGCTCAGTTAATAATATAATTGTAGGGAAGATTTGTCTTAACTGGACATAAATGTACCGTCATATATTTGAAGCAAAAACTTTCTGATTTTTCCTGTGATCGTCTCCTACGATGCCCATGTAATGAAATAAGGTAATGGATCTTCTAACGCCATCGTTGCATGAACTAGGGACAGACCGGACGGACGGTCGCTAACGTTACATCGAGAACGGGTAATGTAGAATGAATTATGATGATCATAAACGTCTTTCTGATAATACCGTGGTCTAAATTGACCAGTTCACTTTCATGACGGATCACTATCACGAGATCCCTTTGAATATGTATTTTTATTTGTTACTAACACTTTTAGGGAAAGTCTAATAATTTTCTCCGGTGGTCTGCCAACGGACAAAGCGGGCCGAACGCACAGCATCACGGTGATCAACGGCAAGAGCACCACCGTGCTTGAGATGGAGCACAGCGTCGTGGATTTTGTCACGCTCTGCGAAAGTCCACACGCCTCTGGTGAGTGACCCAATTATTTTTTTAATAAAATTCTAGCAATGCTAGTATCGATAACAATATTACTGTAAACTACTCCACCTAAGCTTAAAATGTTTGTGTTAATAGTGGTGTACCCACGTCTTTTGGAGTTCGTAATTTGCACCCACAATCATTAGTGAATAATGAATATATATTGTCTATTACCCAAAAAAAATATGGTCACACTAATCTTATGTTCAAACGGTAGTACAGATTTTTTTAAAAAGTTGCTTGCCAAAAAATAATTTAATCGTCAAAAATATTGATTTCTTTTAATTTAGATAAAACTGTAGAAAGCACTACATCAACTCATATACACATTTAAACCATTCACCACATTGATACGTAACAGTTTCTCGTCATTAATTTCGATATACAACATCGCTGAGCTGAGTTTTATGTGTTGTTCTAGAATACCAAGAGCCTTACGCGATCGTGGTCCTTCTACAGAACGATCTAGTGGTGATAGACCTGCTGTCACCGGGCTACCCGTGCTTCGATAATCCTTACCCAATGGACATCCACGAGTCACCTGTTACTTGCTGTTCTTACTTTGCTGATTGCCCATCGGATCTGGTTAGTAATGCCTTTTTTCATTTAATTTAATTTAATAGTAAACGTTATAGCCATAGCTGGTGTAATTCATGCAGGATCGGATTCTAAATCATTATCCAGATAAAGTCCAGCCGTGTTTAGCCACATGCCACTGCTATAAATTATCAACGTTATAAAAAACATGCCTCGCTGCTGAGTCCGTGTAAAGACGTCTGAGATTTATAACGAATCGTCATTATTTGAGATGATGATACGTTATAAATCTCAGACGACAAGATGCCTCGATCATGGACATGGAGTTGCCAAGAGCAACACTCTTTGCTTCATCTAGCCTCATTTTGCCATCGAACGACTTGACTAACGGTTAGAAAAAAACAAACAAAGCGTTTCGCTTCATTAGTTGTGGTACGCACATCGAGGGATTGGAGTTCGTTGCCTACTTCTCTCTTCCCTGAATAGTAAACACAAATTTTTTGACTTATTAATGTCTTCATATTGTTGGTGGTAAGACACGCTGCAGCTGTATTATGGTTATAACACACATACGTTGGCTTGACTGCGATAGGATCGCTCTCACAGAATAATGCTGCTGTGTTTCGTATAGTGAGTGTGGAGAATCGAAGACATTTTTACTGTAAACGAGGCATTCCGTCATAGTCAGGGGTGACAGGTCTAGGGGTTTTTTATAGGAAAGAGGTCAAACGAGCATACGGCTCATCTGATGATAAGTGATTACCACCGCCCATAAACAACTGCAAAACCAGGGGAATTGCAGATGCGTTGCCGGCCTTTTAAAGAGGAGTAGGCTCTTTTCTTGAAAGTCCCTAAGACGTATCGGTCCAGAAAAATCTCTGATGATAGTCTATTCCACAAGAAAGTTGTGCGAGGCAGAAAACTTCTTTTAATCGCACGGTGGTGGACCGTCAGTCATCCAGATGGTATGGTCGAGTTTTGTCACGATGTGCGACGGTGAAATTGTGCGCCTGGAATTAGTCCAAACAGTTCCTCAAAACACTCCCCGTGGTAGAAGCGATGAAATACGGAAAGAGATGCAACATCTATTGGCAGTATCAGTGAGTCAAGCTGATCGGAAAGAGCTCGATCGCCAACAATTCGAACAGTTCTGGACTGGATGCCATCAAATGGAAGAAGCTCGCACTGGGTAGCTCCAGCCCAGAGATGGGAACAGTATTTTATGAAATACTGTCCCGCTCTGTTGAGCACGCCAAGCTTTTTAGAGGCCAATTTCACCTTCTCTTCCAAGTAACCACGAAACTGCCCGTCACTCGATATGTCGACGCCGAGGATTCCGCTACTGGGTGAGGCAACAAGGGGAGTGCCTTGAAACTAAGGAGATACGACGAAGGGGTTCTTGTTAGCGGTAAACGCGCAAACTTGTATCTTCTGTGAATTAAACTGGACTAGACTTAGTCGCCTCCAGTCCGAGACTTTGTTCAACAAAATCTCGACTTCAGACACAAGTTTGTCCCGGAACTCGGCGAGGTATTCCCGAGAAATATTGGCATTTGGTGGTGTATAAAGCATCACCAGTGTTGTGGTTGCATAGCAATAAATGTTACCGGTTTGCAACATGTCACTGATATGCAGAAGAAACAGCGTTAGTGATAGCACGCAGCCTTGTGGAACACCAGCATTAATATGCTTGTAATCGGAGCATGCACCGTTTACTACGATCTTGAAAGGAGTGTTCTAATTTGTACCCCGTGTAGAAGAGATGTATCAGCCGGAGAGGACACCTGTATCTCGGTTAAAAAAAAGAAGGCCGGCCGCGCCGTTTCCAGATAGTAGTGGACAGCATCAAGGTTTGAATGAAGCCCCCTGATTTTGCATAAATTCACGAATAACGTTGCAGGCGGCGTCTTTGTCTTATTGCTCCGTTTGCCTCGAGCAGGCTTAGTCTCGAGAGAAATTTCGCCCTCCCCCCCCCCCCCCCCCCAGAAAACGTTGAGCAGCCTGACGCTAACGCTCAGGAGTGGAGTAGCTTGGTCGTGGTTGCTCAGCGAGGGATTCCCCAGGGGTACTGGTACCCTCCTGGGGTAGTCTTGCATTTAATTCCGCTACCATGTTGATGGGGGAGAGGGGAGATTGGGCCGCCGGCCACCTGCACTCACCAGACGAAACGCAAAAGCAGAGCCTCTACTTCACACTGGTCTCCTGTGAGATCTTGGTACCACCCTAGTTCGAGCCGACCCACACGTGCAACAGCAAATACTGCCGCGTATCTCTACCACTAAAACATCCTCAGGTAATTATGGACCTCAGCATCCACATACATAGGTGGACTTTGTACTCTTCTGGTACTCTTAATCTTTTAAAAAAGGCTTTTATTTAAACTAATTTGCTTAAGATCAAGAGCCATTATTATCACTCTTAATATTAGATATGATCTTCGTCAAAGGTAGGCCTTTATTATTTAAAATATTATAATGTTTATATTCTTGATTTTCAGATCCCGGCATTCTACTCAGTGGGGCGGCAGGTCAATAAAAAGGTGGCCGGTTTCAGCGAGAAGCTATGGCCCATTGACGGTGGCGAATGGGCTCCCGCCTCCTGCTCTTATAGCGAGATCATACTTACTGGGTTTGCCATCCTTCCATCTTTTATCTCTTAGTGTTAATTCTATCTCATCCTTCTATTAGTATTGTCGAATGTAAACTTATCGTTAATTTGTTTTTTTTTATAGGCATGCAGATGGCAGTGTAAAATTTTGGGATGCGAGTGCAGGAACTCTACAGATTTTATACAAGTTAAAATGTTCTAAAGGTAAGCTCCTTGTGACATACATAAACACTCACGCCTGTCACCCAGAGGGGTAGGCAGAGACTACAGACTTCCATTTAGCACGAATCTGACATACCTCTTTCGCTTCCTCCACATCCATATACCTACGCATACATGCTTGTCGGTTAAAGGTACTCTTAATTTGGCCCATTTTTATATATATTTTTTCCGAATTTTCCATTCACTTCTACAACATATATTTGCTTTTTCAGTCTTTCCTCATTCATTCTTACTACATGTAGAAAGAAAAAGAAGGAATGCTTCGGTGGTTTGGTCATGACCAAACCACCGACGCATTCTTTTCTTAATCCCGGTCACCGCATCATCTTGCAAACCACACTCTTCTCTTATCACACAATTTCTCACCCTACACTTTTCGTTAACTATTTTCCTAAATAGTTTCGCTTCGTTACCAATGATGGAACGAAAATATTTGAACCGCGAATACTATGAATTGGTGCGCTGCATACATTTTAAACAATGAAAGTTTACATGGTGCGCAAACATTATATGATATTAAGTCTTTACCGCGGTAAGAAGTTAACATACGTGGTATTAACGTACCAACCAACCAAAAAACAATTGACAGCTAATAAAATTATTTAAGTGCAGTGAGCGATAACTTAAATAGTGAATATGAAGATAGGTAGATTCCGCATGGAGGCCCTAGCCTGTAAACTCGCCCGACCTTTCACTGTTATACTTTTATCTGTGGGGTGAAATAAAAAGTCGCGTTTATCTTAAAGATGTCCTAAGTTATGAAGACCGCCACAGAAAAATTTTTGCTAAAGTAAAAATTGCTCAAGCACAGGTAATAAGTGTAAAAAATAATATACGAAAACGTGTTCATCAAATGCATAGAGAGGAACAGATTCCATTTTGAGGTTGTACCTAAATAGTTTATTCGATCCAAAGCCCGTGTGAAGTGAGAATTGGAATCATAGTTCGCGTTGTTTAGTTATTTACTTAAGCATTTCGTAGTGAGCGTGTCACTAAGAAAGTAAACAGTAAGCAAACATTTTGTGAATTATATCGCACACACAGGGGCGCGCGTATTCGATTTTGTTGCCCATAACTCTAAAGCACAAATCTCATAAAGTAATTATCTCTTTCTTTTATATTATTTTACTGTCTACTCTCCCTGTCAATTCCCTCATAGGACACTATTCTTTCTGTGAATGGCTGTTACGACGTTTAGATTTTTACAAAGATTATTTAGTTGCGTATGATATAACTACACTTTTTAAATGTAATTGGCATCTTTGCCCAAGTTTTCATAATACGAGGGGTACACTGAAATAATCGGGAATAAGAAAAACCACATGCACGGTATAGCTAAATTGTACTTTATTGTTTTTCGAAGTATTCTCCGTTCAACTTAATGCACTTTTCCATTCGTGCAAACCAATCATTAAAACAGTAATTCCAGTCTGAAGTTGATGTTGACAAAATGGCTGATTTGTACGCTTCCACAGCTGCTTCGGGGTCTTCAAACCGTTGACCGCGTAGTAAATCTTTCATTCTAGGGAATGTAAAGAAATCGTTTGGGCTCAGGTCAGAACTGTACGGAGGATGGCTCATCAGCTCAACGTTTTCCTGCCTAAAAAATCATTTGTTTTCCGAGCCATATGGGAGAGCTCGCATTATCGTGATGTAAGATATTGCGACGTTTCGGGTTATTTTTTCATGTTCATTTCTGGCAAACAAACCATGATATACCACTCAGCGGTAACGGTTCTGCGTTCCTGTAAAGGAATTGTAGCAACATGCCCTTTTTCGAGACAAACGTAGCGACCCTTTTCTTTTTGACACGCTGCGGGAGCGAACCACTTTCGTTGGTTTGACCTCGTCTTCGAAGACCCAAACTGCTTAGTGATGTTTTCTTTCAGATTCGTATGAATAAATCCATGATTCGTCACCTGAGATGATATTATAAACGGCATTTGACTTCCTTCCGTTGAAGCGTTGCAGAGTATTCCGGCACCAATCTACACGAGCCGCCTTTTGCTCTTCGGACAAATTGTGGGGAACCCAGCGGGAAACTAGCTTTCTTACACACAGCTCATTATGTAATATCGACTGAATTGCAGTCATTCCGATACTGATACCCGAATCTGCTCGTATGTCACATGACGGTCATCTAATAGTATCTAGTAGTTCGCACAGTTGCGATGTTTTCAGGCGTGACCGCTATTCTTGGTCGACCTGCAGAAGAAACAGTGCTGAGCGACACACGACCGCGTCTGAACTTGGCATACCAGCGGTATATTGTCGTTTGACTCGGTGCTTCAACATCATAAATCTAAACAAGTTCGCAGAGACATTTATCTTGAGATAAGCCGCGACAAAAATTGTGATAAATTATGGCATGGAAATGATCACGCGTGAGCTGCATTTCTGTTATCGACGTGTCAACTTTAAACCAAGATAGTTTTATTTTTTAAACACTTTTTTAATTGTTTGAATGTCATTAAGATCCTAAGAGGCCAGTATTCAAATTGTAAAAAAGGTTTTATTGTCCCTCAATCTGAAATATTCTATTCCCGATCATTTCAGTTTGCCCCTCCGTAAATAATCTTTGGTGCATCTGTTTTGATTCGTTGAACATATTTGAACGACTTGCGGTTACTAACTATACTAGGACTATGCTTAACAACTATTTTAGGATTCGATATATATTTTAAAACGTTACCTCTACATTATGATTTTCTCCTGTATCGTGGTGGTAATTTACATACATATATTTCACAAAAACAAACATACAGGCCCGAAACAATTATTTGTAGGTCATACAAGTACTTGTTCCGTGCGGGATTCGAACTCGCGGCTTTTTGCGCTGCATATCATTGCTGAACCACAGCGCAACGGATTCGTCAATATCAGCAAATAGGTAGCGCTGTAATCAAGTGATTAATAAATTCTATATTTAAAGACAATAATCACTAATAAAATAATGAAAATAAGATTTTAAACGTGGTAGAGCCACGTCGCAGGTATATTATAGTTGCAGCACAAATGAGTCGGCCCGACCGGGAAAGCAACAAGCTCTCACAGAACACCAGCATAAAATACCAACTAGTGTGGTAAGAGTAGAGAACCAGAAACGTTTTTTAACAGTGACGAGGCATTATATCGTCCTTAGACACAATCACAAACACATCCACTTTTTAATTTTTAATCGAAGGTAGATTTAAGTGTGTATGAGCCACAACATCCATTTACCATTGGGTGGATTGTATGCTACATGTATGCAAGACACTAGCTTCTAACACACAGATTTTATAACTAGTTTAAGAAGCCAGCGTTCTATTTATTTGTTAACAAATTGTCATCATCTTTAAAGTCCACTGCTGAACACAGGGGAGGCCTACGTTAAGCAGAAAGGAATGCCACAAGTCACGGCTATGAGCCATCTGCATCCGTCGACTTCCTCCATCTCTTACCAGGTTGTCACTCCATCTAGTGGGGTACTACCCCACACTTCACCTACCGGTACGAGGCTGCCATTCAGAACCTTTATTCCCTATTGGTTGTCGGTTCTGCGAGCTATATGGCCGGCCCATTGCCACTTCAGCTTCCTAATCCGATAGCTTACAAATAAAATAAAAAGTAATGAGTGATATTATACGAGCATTGGTTGTGACAGTGTTCGAGCGGCGCGGTGGGGGGAGTAGTGGGGCGGGTGGGGGAGGCGGGTTCGGCGGGGAGGAGGAGGGTGCGCTGGCCATCCAGCTGCTGGCGCTGTGCGCGGAGTCGCGCCGCCTCAGCGTGGCGCTGCCGCACGGTCACATCGTGCTCTTCAAATTCCGTAAGGCGGAGGCCACCGCCGAGACACACGTCAGTCCGCAACACTCACACTTAGCATATTTTTTAGTATATAACTTGAGCAAAACTTACAGTTAGGGTACATACACAATAAAAGAAAAGTACACTGCTAAACAACGGTCATCTTTAGAACCGATACGTGCTCCTGCAATGGGGTTGTCTCACAGAATTTTCTTTTATAGGATAATGGTGAAAAACGCGCACTCAGTCCACCTGATGGTAAGTGGTTGCTGTGGTCCACAGACATCTACATTTATCCGCGACTACGAACGTTGTCATCCCTGAGGACTAAGATGGAGTGCCTCGTTTCCAGTAAAATGGGTCTTCGATTCTCCACACGTACCATACGAAACACAGCAGCATGGAGTCGCTATTTTACGCTGGTATTCTGTGAGAGCGGGGATGACCCCGGTCGAGCCGACCCAATCTTGCTAAAACTTATACTATTAATATAGCTGCAGCATATCATTTAAAAATATAAATGGAAAAAAACTAGGAAAGTTTCCTTATTCATTAAATGATACATAAATTACACACCGAAATGCCCCATATTATCGCATTGGTGTCGTAAGAGGCGACATGGATTAAATAAAGCAGGAAAGGGTCAGCAATATCTTCCTCCTAATAATTCAAAATAATAATAAAGGAAGATTCCATCCTGAGTCCTAGTGAGGAGAGTAATGTTACTACGAGAATAAAAAATAAATGTTCCAAGTCTGGTAACAGCGATTCTTGTGTAACTGAGGAGAGGTTGCGCATGATTATAAAACAGGAAATTACTGACACTATTAAATCTCTAGTATCCGAGCACCTAGCGAACTTAAACCTTCAAGTATCTGGGTTTCAAGAGTCCCTGTCATTTATAAGCAAACAATACGATGATCTTATGCAGTCTGTTAACGAGAAATCAGAAATAATCAATAGACTGGTTTCAAAGAACGAAAAATTAACAACACAGGTTAAAAACCTGACGGACAGACTGGGGCAGATAGAGCGAAATATGCGCGTTTGTAACGTGGAAATTACAGGTATTCCCGAACACAAGTCAGAGAACCTCCTGAGCACTGTTGAACAACTTGGTAGAATTGTCGAGAGTCCTATTGCTGAATCTGATATATTACATGTAACAAGAATTGCCAAATTAAACAAGGAGAGCAATCGTCCTCGTTCTGTCATCGTAAAGCTTCGCAGTCAGCGACACCGCGATGAATTATTGGCTGCAGTGACACGATTCAACAAAAAGAACAAGGATAATAAGCTCAACACCGAGCATCTTGGACTCGGAGGACGTCGCGAGCCCGTATTCGTATCTGAACACCTGACGCCCACAAATAAACATTTACATGCTGCAGCCCGAAAGAAAGCCAAGGAGGCTGGGTTCATGTTTGTGTGGATACGGGATGGAAGAATTCTTGCGAGGAAAAACGAACAAAGTCATGCTATTTATATTAAAGACGACGAAAGCTTAAAATTATTGCTTTAAAATTAGCCAAGTAGTAGTCAATAGTAATTTTTGCCACAATGCCTGTAAATATTTATTATCAAAATGTGCGGGGGCTTAAGAACTAAAACAGAGGATGTCTTTAAAAATATTCTGATTAATAACTACAACGTAATTGTATTTACTGAAACGTGGCTCAATAGTAATATAACGAACTTAGAATTTATAGATAAGCGTTATATTGTTTATAGGAGAGATCGATTGTGCTCAGAAACTACTAAAAAAGACGGAGGGGGGGTTTTAGTCGCTGTTTCTAGGGATATACCTTCTTTCAGACATTCAAGCTGGGAGAGCGATGCGGAGGATCTATGGGTCTCAATTGATATAAAAACAAATAACATTGTTACCAAAATACTAATTTGTGTGGTATACCTTCCTCCACCAGTAAACCTGGAAAGCCTTACTCGGTTTTTGGAGCATACTAACGATATTTTGGACAAAGCTGATCAAGTTATAATGTTGGGAGACTTCAACATGGGCTTCATTGGTTGGTCTCGCAGTGTGGACGGTGTTTCATGCAGTGCATTTAATTATGATTCACCACAGGGTCTGGCACTCACTGATTTCATGGCGCTAAATAATATTACACAAATGAACCCTATTCCTAACGAGGATGGCAGAGTGCTGGACCTTGTTCTAACCAACTGTGTTCCTTTAGAGGTTTCTAACTCCTTAAATGTTATAAGTAAAATTGACCGAAAGCATCCTCCGTTATTGATTACTGTACCGGAACTAAAACCGAACTTACTTAAACCAGCCCAAAAACCTCGACACAACTTTTTCAAAGCGAACTATGATCTAATCTTGGCTCATCTTAGGGAAATTAATTGGTCACAACAGTTCGATAGGTGTCAAAACGTTAACGAGATGACCACAGTATTTTACCGTATTTTAAACAATGCCGTGAAAACATACGTCCCTATTTTGAAGCCAAAAAAAAGCAGGTTCCCCTCATGGTTTAGCAGGTCTCTGATCAGAATAATCTTGGAAAAAGAAAGCAAGAGAAAAAAATTTGTGAAATACAAAAATCCACGCGATAGGTTGGAGTATGAATTACTTCGTGAGCGAAGTAAGAAAATAATAGACGCATGCCTACAAAGTTATAAAAAACGGGTCGAGGGTAATATTGTCAGGAATCCTAAATATTTCTGGAACTATATTAAGGATAGGCGAGGTGGTGAAACTACTATACCTGCCGAAATGAGCCTTGATGACGAAATTGCAAACACTGGTACAAAGATTGCAGAACTATTTGCTAAAAATTTTTCATCAGTGTTTAGTAACACAGTATTACCTGATAGCCTAGAGTCCGCAGTGTACGGTTTGCCATATTTGAGTGTAATTAGATTCAGTGAACATGAAATTAAACGTGCCATTAAAAAACTAGATATCTTCAAGGGTGCCGGTCCGGATGAGATCCCTCCTGTTTTTGTAAAGCGCTGCGGTCCTACTCTTACTCTGCCACTGTCACTTCTTTTCAATAGATCTTTGCATGACGGGGTATTTCCTGAATTGTGGAAAAAAGCTAAGATCGTTCCAGTGTACAAGAAGGGTGACAGCAGTGACATCAAAAACTACCGTCCTATATCCATACTTTCTTGTATACCTAAGCTGTTTGAATCCCTTGTTTGCCCAATTGTCACGCGCCACTTGGAAAGTTGGATGTCAGAATTTCAACATGGGTTTCGAAAAGGACGTTCTATCAAAACGAACTTGGTGTCATTTATGTCCTATCTAAGTAAAGAAATAGATAGACGCCAACAAGTAGACTGTATATACATGGATTTCTCGAGCGCTTTTGATAAGGTGTGTCACTCGCTTCTTGTACATAAATTGAGCGGGTCTGGTATTGGTGGGACCTTACTGGAATGGTTTAATTCATACCTAGCAAAAAGACTTCAGTTTGTGGTGCTGAACGGTCACATATCACATGAGTATGTTGCATGTTCAGGAGTACCACAGGGATCCCACTTAGGCCCTGTTCTCTTCTCGGTGTTTATAAATGACATTACCTCATCTATAAATTACTGTAAATACTCACTTTTTGCCGATGATTTAAAAATATTCAAAACCGTTACTTCAAATAATGATGTGGAGCTCATCCAAGCTGATCTCGATGGAATAAATATGTGGTGCAAATTGAACGGCATGATTATTAATACGAAGAAATCTTATCACATTAAGTACACAAAGAAAAAAGTTCAATTGCCATCATCGTATAAATTAGAGCTAGATACGTTACAGGAGGTTAAGGAGATTCGAGATTTGGGCGTAACAATGGACACGAAATTGAAATTCAAAGTGCACATGGACAAAACTGTAAAAGAAGCGGCCAGGATGTTAGGTTTCCTTAAAAGAAATACCAAAGGATTTGTTTCTCCTCAAACCAAAATAATCCTTTATAACTCACTGGTTCGCAGCAAACTAGAATTTGCATCAGTTGTGTGGAGTCCCCAATACGCGGCACCATCTCAACGTCTGGAGAGACTACAAAGATCCTTTACTAGATACCTGACATATCACACTTCCGGCATCTCTCATAAGGCCACCTATGACTTGCGGCTGAAACACTTTAAAATGATGTCACTTTATAATCGCCGCATAATATTAGATATAACATTCCTCAAAAAGCTGTTGTCAGGACAGATGGCATGCAGTGAATTGCTTAATGAAATAAATTTCAAAATCCCGTACAGATATCCACGAAATCCTCTCACTAACATACTTGTTGTACCAGTAAGTAGAACAAATGCTCTAAAACATTCTCCATTATCAAGGATGTGTTCTGAGTACAATCGATTTTCCGCGTCCATTAAAGATTTTGATATTTTTCATGACTCAGTGACAAATCTAAAAAAAAAGCTTACCGCACATTTTTGTTGGTAAATTAGATTTGTAATTTAATATTTATGCTACTAAATTTCTTCTTTTTGTTATACTTTTGACTTTTGAGTTTTGATTTTTACTTATTAATTTGCTGCAACTCAAAATTTGTAAATTGAAATTTATTTTGAACTTAAATTAATTTAATGTCTTCTAACGAGAGTGATGTATGCACCAGTAATTGGCATGCATACCAAACTATTTATAAGACGAAGATTATTGTAATGTTTTGTATGTTATGCTGTTGGTGTGTCAATAAATAAATAAATAAATAAAATACTTTTTTTTCAAATTGAAGTTAGTAACGAATTGACAGTGCACCTGATGACACGTGGCTACTATTGTCCATAGACACCTACAGCCGACCACAAACAAAAGAAGGCTACTGATGTGTTGACCTCTGAGGACTAAGATGGAATTCCCTCACAGCCAGCCCCACCCAATACTGTCACTCTACAGCCTGTCTTTCCCAATACCCTTCAGAGCGGAACTATGCTGCTATGTGCACGGCAGGAATGGGTAGTGGTAACGGTATAGATAACATTAATCATCATCAAGTAACTAAAATATTAGCATCCAAATTAGATATGGATGCAAATTCAGTTAAAAGCATAAAACAGATAGAAGG